TGCTTTGTGTATAGGCTCAAATCGCATTTACAAACTCCAGTCAGCTGATTTAAATGATTTTTTTTAAATATACCCGAGTTACCCTTTGTATAAACCCTACGTATGCATAAATCAGTATCATATCAGTTACATTTTACGTTTCTTTTTTTATTTGATATGCATTTGTGTTTAATTAATTATCTTATAAAACATTTCCAAAATTATGATCGATTGTTTGGTTTCAAAGAGTAAATTTTTGAAAATGGAGAGGAACTTCAGGTCGCAAGTCTTAATGGAATACGTATTGTTGCAGTCTACCGGTCCGTGGATTTGGAGTAATTGATGATAACACTTGATGAAGAAACAAAACACAAGCTCTTCGCTAGAGTTAATTAGGACAGTTTCTAAAAACATGTTTACAGCTGTTGAAAAAGACCATTATAAACACACTGAAACAATCAGCAATGTGGCCTTCAGGCTATCTCGGCAGAGCACTAAAGTACAAAAGTACAGCTCCCGACTAGGTCTATCGCTCTCAGCCTAATCTTTGAACGCAAGCCACACTATTCTACTACTACTCTCTCCCAGGTCAGGCAGAATATATATATATATAATCTTTAACTTATCTTCAAGAATATTCCTGAGAAAAACCTCTAAAAATACGTTCTAGAATGTTCTCTCTCCGTCTATGGCATATCGCCAATTTTGTAGCCAAATGGACTATTTCGGACTAAATCTGGCAACTCTAAGCGCGCTTTGCGCAGAAGTTATCTCACCACAAATGGGCATTTCGCAATAATATATCTTTGATCCTTGATCGTCACTTTGCAGCTGGTAAGTACTTCTCAGAGTCGTGACCAGCAAATTTAATTAGTGCCTTTGGCCTTTTGCATTGATTAAAAATGAAGGGTGCAAATTTGCACGAACACTCGGAGGCGAGAATCATTATTGACACAGTCAGGCATTTCACATTGCAATTAAGGATATCATACTCTTATCCTAGGCATTTCTGTGATAGCACAGATAAGCAATTGAGATAACAATTAAATTAAAATTATATTTTGTAATGGCAAATCATTTCTTAGATGGCTTGAGGAAGTGTGGGGCATAATATATAGCATTAAGGCATATCGTGTAGGTCATCAAATGCGTTTGAGTGACTACTTAACTGACTTTTGTACTGAACATAGTAAAATATAATATGATTGAGAGCAAATGTTACGTGTGTGCTGTCGTCCAATCTTTATGAGTCTATTTTCATAATTTAACTATTGGCTGTGAGATACCATGTGGTAAAATGTAGTGGCACTAATTTTCGTAATACTTGATGCATAATATTCAATAGTAAATAAAATTACTTAAACTTGATTAAATAATGAGTAAACGATAAAGTTGAAAATAGAATAATTTAATAAGTAAAGTATCATAAATTAGTTAAGTCCATATCCCTCTTCGGCAAGGATTCTCAAAATCTATAAAGCTTGCTTTGACAGGCATGAATTATTAAGATAAAAAACACGAGAAAGAAAAATAAGATATTTATACTACTAAAACAGAACATTGTGACAGATAGATCTTGGTCGCTTTCCTACATTTTCCATCATGGGATTATAATAAATTATTTCTCTTATTGCTTCATAGGGTGAGTTCCGCGTTGATTCAAAAAGCGTTGTGTGCTGAAATCAGTATTTGGTAGTGAATTGGTTGCATATCCAGGTCCGAGTGAATTTGCGCGTTTCTCACATACCAGGGTGAAACAACTATGACTCGTAGAATTTTGTTCTGTAATACATTAATCTTTTGTCTTTCTGTTTTATTGACGGCTGTGCATGCAGGAGCTTCATACAATAAAACAGGTCGAATTAAAGAAACGCATAATATAATAATAAAGAGAAAATCTGGCCGCCTTAAATCCAGCACATTTTGCTGAGTGAGTCATTCTGAGATCACATTATAACACCACAACAAATAAAGCATACCGAGCAGCATTATAATAGGGATATACTTTGTTTTACATTCGCATAATCGTATTTTGGTAAAATTGTAGGGTTTATATTTATTTTAACTAACATTTATTTTAAGTTTAAACTATCTTTCCTGTCAAGCCTTACTTTTCCCTAGAATTGCCAATGCCAGAGTATGTAAATTTTAGTAGAACGCGCAAGGATTCAAATTGTCAGCGGAAGTAATCTGAGTTAAATAAAAGGGAAACGAGTTCGAAAGTGTGCTTTCTTGCTTCACGAGCGTGAAGGTGGCTAGTTAGAAATTGAAGAACCACGCGTTTCGGCCTGTGTGCTTGCCTCATCAGATTGTTAAATCTTTCAACGTAATATTCAGAAGTTTGCTGAATTGTCAGCGGTATCTTAGAACGCGGTTAGGTTAGTTACGTTTAGAGAGCCTCGTAGTTAGTCACTTGTTATTATTCTTTTTTTAGTTTCTTATTTTTATTTTACCACCGGGTCGGCGTAGTTTGTGAGCGTCAAGAGCACGCATCTGTAATTTCTAAAGTTGAATAAAAAGGGATTTAAACCCTTCTCAAGACTTTGTATACTTTACAGTTCATAGCAGTCACCACTATTGTTGCGTGCAAGTTAGAAGCGCGCAACATTACAAAATTAATATCGACTATCGGTAATTATCAAACAGCTCATAATATAATTTTCGTAACCTAAATAGCAGATGGAATGAACACAAATAATGTTAAAGCTGATAAAAACAGCACTATCATTCTATACTTGAATCTTTATTTTCTCCTCCATCCGCCCTCCTGCACAGCGAAATCTTTTAGTGTTGTCATTCGGCACAGTATAAGATCTTTAATATATCATTCCAATTTAATCAATCTATTACTAGTTGTTCTGTTTAAAAGCACTATTGCGACTACAGAAACAGATGCCTTTTAACTTTTCCTTACAATTCGTTAGTAACCTTACAATCCTCCTAACAATTCGTTAGCCAAATATTTGAAAATATTTGCACTGGACTTGGCATACGCCATATACTAGGCTTTGCAAGTAGCCGATTTTCAGGATGCTGCCATTTGGTAAAGTATAATACCTTCAATTTGCCATCCAAATTTAATCAGTTCGTTATTGATTAACAAATTGAGCTATTTTAAGTGCAAAATGTACACTCTTTAATATTTTAGTACCTTTATTTTACATTTTAACTAATGAAAATTACATCGAATTAATAAAAATTAGAATGCTTTTAATTTGCGAGGCAGCCAGCTGATAATTTCTACGGACATTGTTATCTAAATAATAATATATGTTTCTAATGCGGTTTGTTACTCAACTGTAATAGAATAGTTTTCTTTTATTTATATAATATTTAATATTTTTCAGTTAGCTACCTTTTTGTTAGTTTCGGAATTTTTGATGGTAAACACTTGTTAAGATATTAGAAAATTGTCGTAATCTTCATATTGCAATTACTTTTTTCCTTTGAATTATCTAATTGAAGATGGATAAACGCGTGATTTTAAATTGTGTTATTTATTCACACACACACACACACACGGGAAAAAAAAAAAAAAAAAAAAAAAAAAAAAAAAAACTTACCGATTTATAAGAATAACTGTTTATTTACTAACCCCTCATGTTATCGGACTCAGGTAGTTTAGTCATAACCATGTTATTGCCGAAATCGAAATAAATTGAATATAGGTAAAACAGAAATACAATATTTCGGCATATATAAGAGATATTTAACATTACTGCAAGAAAAAAGATACTGTTTTCAGCATTTGTATCATAAGGTAGTTCTCCCGCCTTCCTAGCGTGCCTTCGTGGTGTAGTGGTTCTGCACGCTGGGCCGGTATTCCAGAGGTCCGTGGTTCGATTCCAGGTGAAGACATTGCTCATTTTTCATCTTGCCTGCTTCCAAAAAATACCTAATGTCTCTACAGTGGCGCCCGAACTAAAAGGGTGTTGGATGATGATTCTTCTCACCAAGGATTGGATCCCCTAAATAACAGCAGTCGCCCTTTAAAAAAGGAGGGAGTATATAAGTTATTTCTCCCGCCTTCCTTAGCGTGCTTTCGCGGTGTAGTGGTTGTGTATGCTGGGCCGGTATTTCAGAGGTCCGCGGTTCGACTCTCGGCAAAGGCGTTTGCTCATTTTTCATCTTGCCTGCTTTCAAAAAATACCTAATATCTCTACAAAATAAACATATTATACCGTCGATACAATATTTCAGTACTAAAATATTGTATCGACTGAAATATTGTATTTCAGTACTGAAATATGTATGCATATTATTATATCTGTAGGAGACTTGTTAGCTAATCTTAATTGAGCTAATGAGGTAATTACCAGACAATTATAGTTGAAAAATTTAATCATAATTTTTAATTTAGGTCTCTGGAAAAATTATTCTTTAATTGGTGACTTTGATTTTCTTGAATTTCACATTTTCAGAGATTTATCTTGTTTACTTAATGACTTAAAATAAACCAGAGTAGGCCGTCTTAATGCTTTTAAAATTCTATTAATTTAATTAAAAATTTTTTGTAACCTTATCGCTCTCTTTACTACCGTATGGTATAAATACGATCACCGTGCCCTCTGCTTTTCTCTCTTGCATATTTATTTGCTACTTATGAAGAGGGACTTGTACCTGTTTACCCTCGAAACCGATTGAGTTCTCAACTAATTCTACACTCAACAGAAGGCTGTTGCACTACTAATTTTATGTTTCACTTTGGCTTGTTTCTTTTCCGTGATGAACATTAATATAATTTTGGAAATGATTTTCAGAATGTAGTATTTATTTACAATGCTAGCCATTATTCAAAAAAATTATTATATTAGTAAAGAAATTTAAGTCAGGCTGTTAATGCTTTTAAAATGGTAGATTATACTGGTTTCAAACAGTTTTCAGTTAGGGGTAGCTAGACTAGCACTAATTCGTTAAGGCTGGAAATAGATCAAAATAATTATTGTATGCTATTACATATGAAATATTGTCTGTTAACATAATTTTTATGTTATTTTGTCAGACTGTACCGCTTTACTTACGGATTACTATTGCAGATAATGAGAGCAGGTTTAACAAATGGTATGGAATCTCCTGTATACGTAACGTTTGAATACAGAACTTCTGTATCTTTCTCCGTTGGATAGTTAAAGTACAGAGCAGTGAACTTGCATAGCTGGTAAATAAACCAGGACGTGCAAAGAATAAAACTAATTTTCTTGATGCGTGTCACGGCGACTTTTCTGTCTGAGAGAATGTTCGGCACTCGTATTAAGAGAAACTCCTTAAAAACTTCTATTGCAGCCTCAGGACGAAAATTGTTCTCTGTATTTTCTCTTTCCATATTTCCTAATATAAGTTAAAAAAAGATTATATTTTAAAAATTCGAAAACAATTCATTTCTAAAAGTTAGTAAAACAGAAATTACAGAAAACGAGTTTCAAGAATACTTGTAATGCAGTATAAACACGATCATTTGTTGTTATTATCCAACAACTTAGGTTTTCCATCATTTGCTGAGACAGTGCAATGGATAGAATGTAGCTCCAAAGAAAAAAATTATAAATAAATAAATAAATAAAAGGATTTAAAAAACTAAAAATAAACGCAAAGAAAGTAATTTAAAATAAATTATATTAAACAGTAATGCGGTACCACTTCATCCTTTGCCACTTCAGGTCTTCTGCAGGTTCCAACAAAAATCATGCAATTTCAGCCAATTTCTGTTCCTTTGTAGATGTCCGGGTGACAATATTAAGCCTTTTCCCAGTCCCTTTTCCCCTTTGTGCGTGTGTGCGTTTGACAGAGAGAATCAGTGCATGATAGGGAGAGATGATATGACTTGTTCTTATGTGCGTGTCATTTATTTCACAAACACTTTTCGGTAAGCAAGGGTTTAAGCAAGGATAGGTCGATTCTGTATCCATGTTTTTGGGTTTCTGAAATTAAAGTGCCTCTTTTATCTTTTTACTTTTGACATTCCATTCAGGTTCAACTTTATAGTCTTCCAAGTCAGGCCCCTATATCGGATTACTTCATGAAATAACATAGAGTTAACACAGAATTATTAAAAGCCTATATAATAATCTATATAAGCCTATATAATCCAAGGATATCATCGGTATACTCACAAGATTATAAATTCATTTCGAAAGCGACTGATTTGAATTTTTAATACCAAAGAATTTCAGAAAAAAAAAAAAAAAAAAAAAAAAAAAAAAAAACTAAGAATTTCATTTGAGAAAAAAATATTTTATCATAATTTGAAGATAGTGTGATTTCATTAGATCAACAGTGCATTATTAGTATTTTTCAATACACTCTTTTCTAAATGTTTCATGTTATTAACAGTAATGATCGTTTTTAACGAAAATCGTTCCTGGCTTCATTTTAATATTACTTAATTAATTTCTATTGGAACGATTTGTAATTTAAATAAGATATATTAACAAGAATTTTTTTGACATAAAGAACCAAATGTAAAAATGTAAAAAGAAAAAAAAAATCCATTCGGAAATCAGTTAAAAAAGAAGACAGCATTTCAAGTAAAAAAATTCATGTCCCCTCCCACACCAAAAAGTTTACTATTAAACATTTAATGTTAAATTAATCGTATGATATTAGTCGGGGTAGTTTGTTTGGGGTAGCCTCTAGCAAGGCCACCTTGTTGGGAGAAGGCCGAATCCAAAGGGGTTCTCCCCTGATGTGACGTCACGAACGAGGACAATCGTAGTAAGATCATCTCCAAAACAGTATGAGTGTAAGCAGAGCGTACGTACGATTAACCTAGAAGGTATGTAGCATTAACGATTCCATAGCTGTAGTAAATTTAACTTTTAGCAAGATGCATCGAAAGTTAAGTTTATTTACTAGCTCACTTTAGTGTTTTTTTTAAAAAAATTAATTCTGTTTGACCTGTACTTCTTAAAGTTAGTTCATGATTCAAAATAAACTCTTTTATGATAAATGAAAGCTAAAGAGGTCTCCCCACTTTTATTCATGTTCTAATACATATTTATTACATACGTCATAACACTCATATTATAACAATCTAGTAAATTTCTTTTGTATCTTTTATTTTCAAACTATGTATCAAACACGAATCTCGTAATATTTTATTAGAATAATTCCTTCTTCTAAATTAGACAAGAATAATAATATTAAAAAAAATTCTTGAATAATAATATTAAAAAATATTGAGTTCGAGTTTGTACATACATTTTATACAGTCTAATACTGTACAAAATAGCTTAAAAAGCTTAAATAGGAGTGCACTAATAATTATAGTCTACAGTATATTAATTATATAGCATTAAATAATTCCCTGTAATTAATTTAATTAAGGTGCATAATACAGTGTTAATTGAATTTTTACAGATGCCGCGGAAATGTAGCGTTCCGTGATGCAAGCCAAATTACTATCCAAACGAAGAGCATATTACAACTTTTAAGTTCCCCAAAGATGGAATGCTGTGTAAAACATGGATTAGTAAAATTAAAAAGGAAACACTTTGTACCGGGATCATGTGCTTGTGTGTGCATTTTGCATTTTGATGAACGTTTCATCATAAGAGAATATAAAACACGACCTGATGAGATAGTATTAACACTTCAAAGAAAAGTGCCTGTTTTATCAAAAGATGCATATCCGACTATTTTTTTACAGTCAAACTAAATATTTACATTGTCCTTTACCACAAAAGCGAAAGACACCAGAAGACAGGACAAGAGAAATAAACGAACGGCGAGTAAATAATTTTAAAAAACTGTGTGCTGCAGACAACATTGCCTCTTTTTAAGAATGTTTGAAACTTTACAGCAATAAATTACCAAATAAATGGGAAATAATGAAAGCATGTGATTATATACTTTTTTTTTCGTATTGAGATAGAAGATTACCCATCAGTCACTGGGTCATTTAAAGTCGAGCATGATTTAACTGTTTCAGTTTTTCGTGAAGGTTTAAACATAACAAGTATGTTTGAATGGCTTTTGGGAAAAGATCTATTATGTAATAAATGGTCAAAATTTGAAAACCTTTCAAATCATTTGTACAGCTATGAGAAAAACCTCAAAAACAGTCAAAGAAATACTGGATTTGGTAACTGAAACTCTACAGAAGTGTTTTGAAAATACATCCAGAACAGATTATGATCTACCATAATTTCCAACAACAACTATGTTAACTGAAAAATGTTTGAAACAGTCATATGGTGTCTGCTATTGAAAATGAATTTCGTTTGGAAAAAAAGATTTTTTTATTATTTGATTCAGTTCATTTACTGAAATGTATAAGGAATAATTGGTTAAACCAAGTTGAAACCAATCAAACCTTTAATGTTACATCTTTTGATGAGACAGATAATAAACTGTGAAATCTGAAACAATTATATAACATAGAGCAGCACCATTCTATAAAAATAGCTCCAGCTCTTTCGAAAAAAGTTCTATATCTAACTTCTTTAGAACGGCAGAATGTTTGTACTGCCATTAAACCTTTTGATGAAAAGACTGTTGCAGCATTACATGTCGAATTAAAAGAAAACAAAACAGGATATGGAGAAACTGTTAGAGGAACAAAATATATCATAGAAATAATTTTGAAATGGTGGAGTATTGTCAATGTTAAACATCCACGCAAAGGACTACATTTAGCAGATGCGAATCGTGAACCAATACTTTCAATTAATGACAATAAAATTAAATTTCTCGGAAGTTTTTGCACGTGGTTGATAAAATGGAAGGGTGATTACAGGAAAAAGTTCGGAAAAACTGTTGGTCGACTCATCAGAGAAACATACAACCAAAACTTTTATCCAGCTTTCGGATTATTTATTAAAGAATTTAAAATTCCAGTATGTGCTGTATGGAAAATTTCAAACAGACAATTTGGAGGCAAGATTTGGACAATATCGCCAAATGAGTGGTGCAAATTACCATATTTCACTGAGTCAGGCTTTAGAATCTGAAAAGAAACTCCAATTAATTAGCTAGGTGAAACTAAATTCTTCAAAAACCCGGAAGTTCACAGTAAAGACATTACAAACAGATAATGATGATTTAGACAATAGTACTGAATGTAGCACAGAAAAGTTTAATTAAATTATTTCTTTTTCACAAACATTTAAATTAATTGAAAAAGATATGAGAGTATTAATTTATATAGGTAGATATGTGGCTCGAAAAATCTTCGCATTCTGAAAAACGCAAAAATATTCTACATTCTGATAAGGGATCGAAAATGATTTTTTAGATTATTTGGAGTGCATCGATAGAGGGGGGTTATTGTAACTTACTGAATTTGTTGTACATATTATTGCAGTTACATTTCAGATATTTCAGGGACTTATTTCAGAACATTATGAAACTAACTTTTCATGTGCCAACAACCGAAAACGTTTATTGATAGATCTTTCTGAATAAAAACTAGATCTCATGAATATTGGATCTATACAGTTAGTATATTCATGCAAAATGGAAATTGGTAAATTACGACGGTTATCTTTATCCTCAATTTGAAACATTTTGTTGAATAATTATGCTAAAGTTCGTAATGAACGTTTTAAAAAGCAAGCAAAACCCCAGAAGAAGAAAAATCAATCCTTATTAATACAGTAATTTAATATCAGTAATCTGGAGTCACTTGTATAACATGCTTCGGTGAGTATACATTAATAAGGTTATTACTATAGTCACAACGTTTTTTCATAGCTTGTTACAATAAAAATATTATTTATGTTAGGCAAATTATTATTCCTTTATATTAACTTCAGTTAAATGTAATATCTTAAATTTATGAAACTAATGTTTTGTTATGAAAATGAGTATTTCTTAATTACTGCAAATTTTTACATTGAATATTTTTCTATATGTGTCTATGAATAACAAATGCAAGAAGAATCAATATGTTTTGAATATTTATTAAGCAGGTGTAAATAAGCTTCAAATTTTTGTATTTAGTGAAAATTATTCAACAAAATAATTAGGGAGTATTTTTATTTTGATATGCAGTATGAAGTAATAAGTATATTAGATTTTAATTTGTTTAATAATATACGTATATTTGCTATTCTGGAAAACATTATATATATATATGTGTGTGTGTGCATATTTCTGCATGCATTTGTGAATGTCAAAATTTGAAGAAATAAGAATAATATGTATTGTATATTATGAAGTTACATCTAAAATAATGGCCTCAGATTTTGTATTCATTTTATGAGTATATGAGTGAAAATCTATGTGTAAATTAAATAATGAAGAAATGGAATGCATTTATATTGCTATGTTCCCAAATTAATTAAAAAGTAGGATGTTTTCAGCTTAAAA